CAAATATGTCAATTTACGGTCTTCCTCTGTTCAAAATCCTCCAATGGCATGCCATCCAGAGTAAAATCCAAAGTCCTTTTTATGTCCTGTAAGGTCTAAACAATCTGACCACTGCCTTCCTCTCTCACTCAACTCAGGCCCTTTGGTCTCTTCTATTCCCCAAGTATACCAAATGTATTCTTGCCTCACTCCTACTGTTCCTTCTGGCTAGAGTGTTCCTTTCCAAAATGACTATATGATTCCTTCCTTCCTCTTAATTGAGTCTTTTTCCAAGTATCCTCTTTATAGTGCAGTCTTCCCTAACTATTGCATACACCTCTTTCTTGCTTTATTTTTCTGTATAATACTTACTACTCTCTACTATTACATGTTACTTTTTTTGTGTTATACCATTTCCACCTTCTAACTTGCCCCACAAAGGCAAACATTTTCATGTGCTGCTTTCACTGTTGTATTCCTAGGACCTAAAACAGTATTCTGACACATCCTAAACTTCAGTAAGAATTTGGTGACCATTTGGGATACCATATTTTCCACAATCACTTAACCCATTATGAATATGATTTCTGATCCTACAGTTCTATTCAATGAATTCTCAAATTTTGAATTTCTGTACCCAACAGCATTTTATCTAAACTCATTTTGACTTCTGAAATTTCTAACACTAATAACTTCCCTCTGTCTTGAAACTTCTTGCAGAAATCTCTGCAATACTTCATTGTTTAAGTTGAATCACTGTGTTTGCCCAAGGTAAACAGGCCGTCATCTGTATGTCTCTTACCCAATATACAAATACTTTGTTCAAATACCCACTTATCAAGGACATTCATTAATTCACTAAGCAGGCCAGTTTCAGAAGTCTTTCAAATTAGAAAGTACTTAATAGTGGATTGAAATCTGCCTTCTGGTAACATCTACCCAGCAATCCTGGTCCTCAATTCTGCAATTAATCAGAACAAGTCCAATTTGCCTTCCCTAGTAGCCCCTAAAATAATTGAAACAGCTCCTTCTACTTTTCAGTCTTTTTGGATCAAAAATATTCCTGGTTTCTTCAACCACACCTCTTAAAACATTGTTTTGAATTTCTTTCCATCTTGCTCATTGTCCTTAAGATTAATTCCAGTTTATCGCCATCTAAAGATTATACCTAAAGGTCTCCTCACTCTGGGACTCTCACTAGTTATTATTCTTCTAATAGTTTAAGCAAAGATGGCAAAAGCTTTATTGGCATCCTATCATCACAAGGTCTACTCAGAAAAAGCCAGTTTAGACCCTTAACCCTTTCAAACATGGACTGCAATTAAGCCACATTTTTTCCCATCCCACACTTGAAATAAATATTTTCATTCATTTTACATTAGTTTTATAAATTATAATCCTTCCATCATTTTAGCTTTCCATTGCCTATGGCAGAACGTCTAAACTCCTTTGCATGGAACTCAAGGTCCTCTGCAATTAAGTCCTAGTCATCCTTCCCATCCTTACTGTCCACTGCGACCCCAGCTCCCATTCCCGTAACTCTCCAGCCACACTGGGATGCTCATGACCCAGCCAACCTCAACCCTTCCCACCTCCCTTGACATTACTTATACACATAATTTTTTTTTGCTTACAGTGACCTCTTCCTTGGTCTCTCTCTGTTGAAATTTTAGATATTAGAGCTACAAAAGACCACATGAGCTATAAAATCATAACTATCCTTCAATGCCTAATTTCAATGCCAT